GAATTTTTTAAGGTTGTTGACGTTCCAAACTCTAGGCACCCTTTTGCCCTCGGCGTCTTGGAGAATGTATGCCCCGGGGTGCGGGACCTCGGTTACAATGTAAGGGCCTTCCCAGTTTGGTGCTAGCTTGCCATATCGGGTTTCGAACCCTGTGAGCCCAGCTTTTCTGAGGACGAGGTCACCGACTATGAAGTTTCGAGGTCTGACTCGCTTATTGTAAAGGTTGGCTATCCTTTGTTTGTATGCTAGGGTCCGAAGTCGGGATTGCTCTCGGACTTCGTCTAGGAAATCAAGGTTTTCCCTTAGTAGACGCTCATTTTGAGCTGGTTCAAAGTGGCTGATTCTTAGGCTTGGGACACCGATTTCGACAGGAATGACTGCCTCAGTGCCGAAGGCTAAGTGGTAGGGCGTTTCGCCTATTTGCAGGAGACTAACTTTAGGATTTACTTTATAGGGTAGTCTGTAACCATAAATAAAGTAATGTAAAACAGAACCAAAGTGGGGAACATACCTGTGGCAGTTCGGCTTGTTGTCCGGTAAGCCCACAGGACGTTGTTGAGTTTGTCTACCCACTTTGTTTTCAGCTGGTCTAACCTCGGCTTGATTCCTTCCAAGATGGCCTTGTTGACTGATTCAACCATTCCATTGGCCTCAGGGTGATAGACGGAGGTGAACACCAACTTAATTCCGTAGCTTGAGCAGAAGTCCCTGAAGGAGTTACAATTGAACTGGGGACCGTTATCGGCGATGATTCGGTTTGGTATCCCATATCTGCAGATGACCGAGGTGAAGAGGAAATCTTCGATTCTCCTCGAAGTTAGACAAGAGAGAGGTTTGGCTTCTACCCATTTGGTAAAGTAATCAACAGCGACCACCAAATGTGTTGCTCCCCCTACTGCTTTGACGAAGGGGCCCAGAAGGTCTATTCCCCATTGAGCAAAGGGCCATGGCGCAGTCAAGCTAGTGAGTTCTTCGGCTGGCTGGTGGGTGAGATGGGCGAAGAACTGACATTTCTGGCACCTCTGTACGAACTTCTTTGCGTCTTCTTGCATGTTAGGCCAATAGTACCCTTGCCGAAGTACCTTGTGTGCCAGAGTCCGGGCTCCCACGTGATTACCGCATACCCCCTCGTGCACTTCTCTTAGCGCATACTCTGCTTCATATGGTGTCAGGCATCTGAGGAGTGGTAACGAATAAGACCTTTTGTATAGGATGTCGCCAACCAGGGTGTACCGAGAGGCTTTTCTTCGTAACTTCATCTCTTCTTGTTTGTCCCCCGGGACGGTACCATTGAGGAGGTATTCCCGGATGGGGTCTGTCCAACTCGGAGCATCTAGGTCGATACTAACCTCCATCACCCCCGACGTCTGAAAGCTCGGTTCATTCAGTATCTCGATATACACAGATTTTGCTTCCCTTGAGTTTTTGGATGCCAATTTCGACAAGGAGTCTGCATGCTCGTTTTCCTCTCTCGGGATTTGGGTAAGCTGGAATTTCTCAAAATGGTTTCTCAGGTTGGAGACTGCGGCCACATATCTCGCCAGGACGGGATCAATGACTTCGCACATAGAATTGATTTGGTTAACTACCAGTTGCGAGTCACTGTAAATCTGCAGGCGTTTGACTTTGAGCTCGGCCGCCAGACGTAATCCCAGGAGGAGGGCTTCATATTCGGCCACGTTGTTTGTGGCCTGGAAGTTGAACTTCAAAGCGTGTTCGCTCCGGAAGCCGTCAGGTCCAGTTAACACTACTCCAGCTCCTGAGCCCTTGTTATTAGATGATCCGTCGACATACAGGGTCCATGTTTCTGCCTCGGAATTTGGCTCTACCTGATTAGAAGTGCATTCGACTACGAAATCTGCCAAAGCTTGAGCTCGGATTGTCGATCTCTGCTGGAATGCTATCTGAAACTCTCCTAGCTCTACTGCCCATTTGATGAGCCTCCCGGAGCATTCTGGTTTCTGCAAAATTTGTCTTAAAGGCTGGTCAGTCATCACAATAATAGAATGGGATTGGAAATATGGCCTCAATTTCCTTGCGGTAACAACAACTGCTAGGGCTGCTTTTTCTGCTATTGAGTATCTCTGCTCGGCTCCCTGCAGCACCTTACTGGCATAGTACACTGGTTGCTGTTGCTTCCCCATTTCCCTGACCAAGACAGAACTGACGGCAGTATCAGATATTCCGAGGTAGAGATAAAGGATTTCACCTTCCTGAGCCTTGGTCAGCAAAGGCGGCGAGCTGAGGTAGGCCTTGAGCTCGTCAAAAGCCACCTGGCATTCCGTCGTCCAGTTGAACTTCTGGGGTTTTCCCGCTTCGTCCTTCTGAGCTGCAGTTCTCAAGACTTTAAAGAAGGGCAAACACTTGTCTGCTGATTTGGAGATAAATTTGTGCAGTGCTGCTACTCTCCCTGCCAGGCGTTGCACGTCCTTGGTTGACCTCGGCGGTTTCATTTCTTCTATTGCCTTTATCTTCTCAGGGTTGACCTCTATTCCCCTCCTGGAAACCATGAACCCCAGAAACTTGCCTGATTCAACGCCGAAAGTGCACTTTGCTGGATTCAACTTCATACCGTACCTTCTAAGGTTGTTGAACGTCTCGGCTAGGTCGGTCAAGTGGTCTTCTGCTCGAGAACTTTTGACAACAATGTCATCTACGTAGACCTCCAGGTTTCTACCGATTTGAGCCCGAAACACAATTGTAACCATTTTCTGGTATGTTGCCCCTGCATTCTTGAGCCCAAACGGCATCATGACATAACAGTATATTTCATCCCCGGCATAAAATGAGGTTTTCACCTCGTCCTCGGGTGCCATGCGTACTTGATGATACCCCGAGTAAGCATCCAGGAGGCTTAACCTCTCATTCCCTGAGGCGGCCTCCACCAGCTTGTCTATGCTCGGCATGGGATGATAGTCTTTGGGGCAGGCGTCGTTGAGGTTGGTGTAATCGATGCACATGCGCCACTTCCCGTTTGACTTTTTTACCATGACCGGGTTGGCAATCCATTCGCAGTAATCTACTCTCCTGATGAACCCTGCTTGTAAGAGATTCTTCACTTCTTCTTTAATGGCCGCGAGTCTTTCTCCCCCGAAAAGCCGTCTCTTCTGTGCTACTGGCTTCCTCAAAGGATTAGTGGTGAGTTTGTGCACTGCCACAGAAGTTGGGATTCCAGGCATATCAGCCGAAGTCCATGCAAACACATCCTTGTTGACTTTTAGGAAACCCACAAGTTCTTCTTTTTCTGTAGGAGTCAGCTTCGTGCCTATCTGAGTCTTCTTGGATGGGTCATTATCATCAAGTTGCACCTCTTCGACCTCTTCGACCGGGGTGGCTCTTGGGTCGTCCTCTGGTCTGTTGTCTGGTAGCTCTACGCCCATTACCTGTTGGGTATTCGGGGCCTCTGGTTGGGGTGCCTCTGGTGGTGGGAGTACCTCCTTATTTCTTCGTGACCTCGCGACGGAGGTCATGTAGCAGTGCCTGGCCGCCTCTTGGTTGCCTCTTAGGGTTGCTATCCCCATTGGGGTAGGGAATTTCATGCAGAGGTGGGGCGGGGACACTATAGCCCGAATCTCGGTCAAAGTCGGCCTCCCGATGACGAGATTGAAAGATGAAGGCATCTTTACTACTAGAAATCTGACTGTAGGTGTTACGTACGTCCGTCCAGAGCCGAACGCCACATTGAGCCGCAGCACTCCTTCCACAGGTACCGGCTGATTGTTGAACCCGTAAATGGGCCCGTCGTACTTTTGTAGGAGGGCCGGGTCGAGTCCGAGGCTCTCAAAGCAATGGTAATACATTATGTCTGGGGCACTGCCGGTGTCGATGAGCACTCGCTGGACCTCGCAGTTGTTGATGATGACCGAGGTGACTAATGGGTCGTTATGGGGCGTAACAACCCCCTCGAAGTCAGCCGAAGTGAATGTCACAGATTGATTTTTCCAATCGTCCTCGTCGATTTTCCTTTTCTAAGCTGTATTGTGGTGCTTGACCTCCCTCACGTACAGCTTCTGCTGTTTGGAGCTTGTGCCTCCTGCCTCGGGCCCGCCAGTTATCATGTGAATGACTCTAGATGGGGGTGGCAGAGGTGGCGGTGTTTGTTGGTATCCTACCCCATCCCTGTTGTTTGGTGCTCGGGACCCCTGGGCTTGTCCTTGTTCTTTGACAAACTTTGGCAAATTTCTGTTCTGGATGTACTCATTCAACATCCCCTTTCGGGCCAAACTTTCCAGTTCGGACTTCAAACTTTTGCACTCTTCCGTGGTATGTCCGTGGTCTTGATGAAAGTCACAGTATCTGGTGTGGTCTCTGCTTGCCGCTGGGCTTTGTATGGGGTGTGGTCTCCTCATCTCCATCTTATTCTTAATCTGCATGAGAATTTGCGACCTCGGAATTGTGAAGGAGGTCCACGAGGGCGGCATGGGCCGCGTCTGCGGGGTGCTGGAGGTGGGCCTATCTAGCTTAGGAACCGGAATTGGTCCTCGGTTCTGTGTAGGTTTGAATTTTTTTCTGCTCTGGCTTTCGTCTCTCCAGGTGGGGGCTCTAGCTTCTTTGGGGGGCTGGGGTTTGGAGAGGACATACTCCTCAGCCTTAATGAATTTAAGGGATCTCTGGTTGACTTCGTCGAAAGTAGTTGGGGTGTTCTTGATCAAGTTGTCTCGAAACCGATCGTGGTTGAGGCCTTGTATCACGGCAGTTACTCCCACTGCCTCATCGAAGGCATTGACTTCCAGCATGGCGTCATTGAACCTGTTCATGTAGTTCTTCAAGGATTCGCCTTCTCGTTGTGTTATGCGCATGAGCTCGGGTGTCGTCTTTTTGATCACCCTTCTGCTAGAGAATTTGGTGGCAAAGAAGGTGGCCAGCTCGGCATATGTGTTAATCGAGTTCGGACGCAGGGTATGATACCAGGTCCGGGCATTGCCGCGCAATGTGGAGGGAAACATCTTGCACATGAGCGCGTCCGAGGCGTTTTGAGCCTGCATGATGGAGAAGAATGCATGTAAGTGGTCATCAGGGTCTTTAGTGCCGTCATACGTTTCAAACATCGGCATCCTGAAACCGGGTGGATATGGTTCTTGAGTGATTTTGGTGTTGAGGGGAGTGGGGATAGAGGTTGGTATAGGCGGGACTTGTGATTGTGGATTTTTGTTCTCGGCCAACAGTTTTTCTAGGTTATCCAGCCTCCTTGAGACATCTGAGGCGGCTGGTTGAGGTGGGTTTTGTGGCTGGGGTGGTATGTGAGACTGTGCTTGGGAAGCGATCGGGGCAGCACTGCGGACCGGGGAGTTGGCGGGCTGTTGAGCTGGTTGGGGGGCCACGGGAGGAGCTGGGTTCAATAAGTGAATGAGTGGGTCAGCGGGGTTATCTCTGGCTAACAGCTGGGCAAGTACTAGCTGGAAGACCCCGAATTGTTGTTGCATGGCATTGAGTTGAGCGGTCACAGGGTCGCTTGGTACAGCGCTGGGATATTGTGGCTTATGTTCCCCAACTCCTTCTGTCTGCTGATGCTGGGGGGCTACGACTAGTGTATTCTGTGACATGGGGTTAACGCTTGGAGGCTGGCCTCTCCCTTGGCCTCGGGGAGGACTCTCACGTTGGGTAGCCCGTGTGTGTACCATCTTAGCTTTTGGTGATGACTTTTGTTCGGATTCCCACAGACGGCGCCAATGTAGTTGCTGAGTATCCTTAAGGTCCTACTTCAAGTCGGTCTTGCTCCAAATGGTCCTGCAAAATCCCGAGGTTGGTCCTCGGGGAGAAACTCC